GGGGGGGGGCAGTCACTCCAGGGGAGTAAAAGGCCTTATTTCTCCTGTAGCCGTTTGGTAATTTCCCTCGAGATTTCGGATCCCTGTTCGCCAGGGCTGAGGTTTTACCTGCCCTGTAGCCTAGGGAGCCTCACAGAGGCACCGAGTGCACCTGGGCCACGGCCCCTCCGCATGCAGCCTCGGGTCAGGCTTGGGGTCGGGGCTGGGGTCCCCGCTGCCCTGGCTCCCGAGTCCCTGAGTGTCTGCCTCTCCTCGGCCCCGCCTGCCTCTCTGACGGCTCTGTCCAGCTTTCCAGGGAGGCTGTGATGGTACAGAAGGCGCCTGGCCGGTGCACAACTGTGTGTGGGGCAGCGGGCAGCCACGTCTTGTGGCGGGTGTGGAGTTCAGGGCCGACAGGGCAGAGTCCGGGACCTTGGAGTGCACCTCAGCACCCGGCCAGGCCCCCCTCTGGGACCACAGTCCCCGTCCCTCCCCCTGCCAAACACACACCCGGGCGGCACTCGTGCAGAGGACAGAGGGGCTGTTACCTGGCGATCTTGTCCGTGCAGGACATGGTGACCAGCTGCTCGCCCAGCAGGACGCCGTCCCACGTCTGCACCGTGCCTGGGCCACGCACGGGCACTGTCCCCTCCCCGGACTCGATCTTCGTGCGCAGGTGCCCCCGGAACTTCCTGGCCAGGTGCTTGCTGCTGCTCACTAGGGGACGAGAGCTGCGTGAGACACGGGGGCTGGGGACACGGTGGGGGGGGACACAGGGTGGTCATGGGGGGGCTCCGAGGGGAGGGTAAGAAGAGGGGAGCTCATTGGGAAGCAACTCCAGTGACCCCAGTGCTACCACCCGCGTTCCGGATGAGGAGGCAGCTTTGGAGGTAAGTGCCGGGCGGACGGACCTGTACAGACACGGGAGGAGCTGGGGCACAGCAATCCCTCTGGTCCAGGCTCAGCTGGCGTCACAGCAAAGGGTTGGACAGTGACCATCAGAGGCTCTGCAGCCGTTTGGTCTCGGTCCGACCACTGAACCCAGCTCTCAGCACAGACGGGCCAGGGAAGGAGCTGCATTTACAGACACCGACTTTTGGGTTCCACGTCACCTTCATGTGTCAGGAGATGCTCTTCTCACCCTTTCCAGCCATTAAAAAATGTAAAAACCATGCTTAGTTCTCAGGCGGCTGGTAGGATCCGGCCCAATTGCTGGGCTGCAAACCTCGTCTAGATTTTAGTCCTGGCTCTATGGTTTCCTAGCTGCATAGCCTTGGAAAAGCTACTTAAAACTACTGTGATACAGTTAGTTTGTCTGAAAATGGGGTAGTGGTGGTGCATCCCTCCTAGGCTTAGGGACTAAATGAGATGGGACCTGGGACCCCAGAGCTGCTGCTTAGAGTCCCGGTGAGGGGGCGTCTGCTACACCCGAAGACCGGCCCACGGTAGGGGGGCCTCGATGCCCTGTTACTGCTCTCCTGCCTTTCCTTTCCAGAGTCACCTCCACACCCATATACACCAGTTATTTGAAGAGCTAGCTTGAGCGAGAGGAAGATTAAATTTATTATTTTTTTCTTTTTTAGAAAAAGGTTCTGTACATTTAGTCAGGATTATAATGTGTTATAGAAATGCTTAACTGCTTTGTGTACAAATTATATGTGAACTACCACAGTGATACCAACATTGACACACACGATCGTGGGATGAACACTAAATGCCTTCTTTAAAAGGTTTCTATGTAAGTTTTAGAATTTGTGAAAATATGTTTCTCCTTCATTTATCTGCACTGGAGTGAGGGTAAATTATTAATATAAATTATTACCCAAATAATTAATAACATTTGGGTTTATATGGGCACCTTCTCTTACAGATCTTGAAGTAATTTCCAGTATCTTTTCTCATGCTTTCTAAGAACTGAAGTTCCTTTACTATGTATTCATACTGCCTAGAGGCCATCTCTTGGGAAGAAAATTGCTGTACTCTGTGGAGAAAGTAAACTTTTGAGAGGTTTTAGATTGCTTATTGACCATACCACTAACCAGGTGCTTGATGAGATCCAATTTGGACTGGCCTATGAGTCGTCTATGGAAGGAAGAACCAAGCTGAGAGACTGAGCCTGGGGGAGGGAGGGGCATAGCCAAGGGATGCCCAGCCCTCCCCCTAGGTAGAGCCTGAATCTCTTCTTTGCAGATTTAAATGGCACTAGGAATCAGATGACAATGATGCTGCTGCTGGTGATGATGGTGATGATGGTGATGATGGTGATGATGGTGACGATGGTGATGATGGTGCTGATGGTGATGATGGTGATGGTGGTGACGATGGTGACGATGGTGACGATGGTGCTGATGGTGATGATGGTGATGATGATGATGGTGATGATGGTGACGATGGTGATGATGGTGATGATGATAATCATGGTGACGATGGTGATGATGGTGACGATGGTGATGATGGTGATGATGGTGATGCTGCTGCTGCTGCTGATGGTGATGAGGATGGTGATGATGGTGATGATGATGGTGACGGTGATGATAATAATGGTGATGGTGAGAAAGTGATGATGGTGATGCTGCTGCTGCTGCTGATGGTGATGAGGAAGGTGATGATGGTGATGATGATGGTGACGGTGATGATAATAATGGTGATGATGGTGGGACAGTGATGATGGTGGTGATGACAATGAGACAATGATGATGATGACAAAGATGATGATAGTGATGATAATAAATTGAACATAAAGTATTTCACCTGACTCAAAAATACTTGAGCAAAACTTTGGTTTGACCTGACTGTTTACACCATCCAGGTGAGGTCTTTATCACATCAACTTCCTGTGGCAGGTGGCACTGAGGGAAAGGAGGGCCGGCATAGCTAACAGTTTCCACAATTTACCACAATGTTAGGAACTAAAGTCTTCTGTGTGGGAATACTTTCTTAGGAAATACGGTACTTGCTGTCCCTCTCTTTCTGATAATTATATTCAATAGTATCCTCACCATTCTCTCAATGCTTCAACTATTGTGTCATTTTCCAGACCTGGAAAGTCACCTATTACATTGTAAGGCTCTTCTGAATTCTTACCTAGTGCTTCTGTGCAACTAACTTTCCCTGAAGCAGACTTTGTAGCCTGTTAAGGCCATGACAACCCGGAGGCCTGGCTTGAGTAACAACTGGTTTCTAGGAGTTAACCTAAAGTTTTCAGGTAGATGAATTTTTCCTGAAGAGCCAGGTGCATGAGATGCTCCTGACGAGTGTTTACTTTTGGAGGTGTTGAGTCTCGGCTGCCTCTCCAGCTCCCCCACCAGTGTGATCAGTCCCAGTGGCTCTGAGTGTCGCGATCTTGCAGAGCTCGTTTACCCTGGCTCTTTCTTGCCTAATGGCGAGAGGCAGGAGGGATTTGAAGATGCTACTTCAAGCAGAACGAAATGCCAATCCAACCAGAAACTGCAGGGAACTGACCTTAAATCATCTGCAGTGGATTTGTCGTGTGCCCTAGACAGTGGGAGTGTGGAGCATTAAGACCCTGCCTGCGTGGATACATAAATGCTCCCAAACCCATAAGAATGTTCTCAGCTAATTCCGATACTCCATCTCATGAGACTCTTCAGTGTACTGTTTGTTCATCTAAAACCCTTACTTTCAGACCCTGATGTCAAGATAAAGTGCGACTGGTAATATGCTGAAGAAAATTGTTCAAGTGAATATTCTATTTTCAGGAGAGAATCAGATGGTGACTGAGGAAGTCCACCGAGGGAGCAAAGGTCTATCTGAAATGTGATGCATGGTTGCTGCAGTGGTGCAGGGGAGAGAAAGAGCCAGAAATGGGAAAAAAGTATAGGAAAGAAGACAATATTTTTAAACCCCAAATAAGCTTCAAAAGGTATATCCCAGAAGGTATACCCATGATGTGGTCTACTATTTATTGTAATAATGACATCTACAATATTTGTCATGTGGTCACGTGGGTGTTCTTGTCCTACCTGGTGAGGATGGTGACAGTGACGATGTGAGTTAGGAAGCCATTTAAATCCATCGACCCTACAATGCACGGATATTATCATGTGTCACATGCTCTGTAGCTCAGTAGTCACATCAGAAGACGGGGCGTCAGGAAGTATATTTTAGATTCCCTGACTTCCTATGGGAGCAATCTCTTGAGCTGCCGTCATGTACAAAGAATAGAACTGGCTCAGATGTACAGGCATTCAGTTCACACTTGTAAGATAGCTGTGTGATGTAATCATGCTATATCTCATGGCTTCTTGTGGGAGATAGATCAGAGATTTGAACTAAGTTGTTAAACTCTTGTAAAATGGCAGTAAGGACTGAATTTTCTAGGTTATTTAAAGAACCTGCCAAGCAAGAGGAATTTGCATTAGAGTGTTGGTGAGTTGGAAGGAGAACGGTCACCCAGCCACTGTGACCAGCCCGGGTCTTTTCATTAATCTCTTCACTTAGGTTATGATCAGAACTGCCCCCATGTCTGCAGGCCTTGCAGATGCTCCACCAGTCCCCCGTCTGCACGCAGGCCCACCCTCCGGTGGGAGAGGATAGGAAACCAATTGGGCAGGAGACAGGTTAGGGGGTTTTGAACCCGGGGGCTCAGAACATGGCTGATCCTCAGAATCACTGGGGAAGTTTTAAAAGTACAGACCCTCAGACCCACTGCATACTGAATCTTGGGAGAGTGGGCACAGGAACCTGCATTTGTAGAAACTTCCTGGCAGTGCTGTAGGTAAGTCGGGTTTGGAAACAACCAAATCTGTGCACACCTGCTCACAGGCAGCATGCCTCCCCAGACATCTCGGCCAACGGACACTGAGTCCATTTCTAAGGACTCTAGGAAGGGAGAACCTACGATCTGTCCAGGTGAATGTTTTTGAGGGGAAAATACCCCAGGGACTTTAGAATTTCTGGAGCCACAGGCGTCCCTGGGGGTGGGGTTGTGTATTGTCCCTTAGCTGCAGAGCCCGTGAACTGGGCCTCAGGGGTCTGGGGCTCCTGCAGCTCATGGAACCTTTAGGGCTGTGGCGACAGCTTAGGCCAGAGTCCCTGGTGGACAGCGGCGGGCTCTGCCACAGGTGGGTCAGACTTGGTTCTCTGCTGGGGTTCACTCTGCCTTCCTTCCCTCTTAAAGGACAGGGGGCCATCTGGGCAGGTCTGTTGAGAACTTCCCTTAGACCTAATCACTGAACAGGTGTGTCCGCGGTCCCGTACGTCAGGCATCTGTTGTGCGTGTGTGCCGTGTGCTTGTGCTCATGTGTGTACTTGTGTGTGAGAGTGGGAGGGGTGACCCCCGGCACCAAGGCTGTGGGTTGTGCAGAAAGATGTACAACGGCTCCTGCAGACCAAGCAAGGGGTGACAATCAAACCAGCCAAAGTGACCAGGACCGGCAGGGGACATGCTGGCCGGTGGAGGGGAGGCTCCTGGAGCAGCTGCGGGTGAGAAGCTGGAGGCCTCGGTGTCCAGGGCCAGAGCTTCTCCCGGCTGTGACCCCTCTGGGGAGAGGATTGAGCATGTCATGCTCTGCATCTGTGGACACGAGGACATTGCCGTGACCTTCAGGGTCGGGTGCCCTGGACCTGTTCAGGAGCGTGGACCCTGAGGCCGTGGGGCAGTGAGGCTGGGCTTCTGCAGGGGTGGCTTGCAGGAGGCAGGAGCGCCCATCCCTGCTAAACGCCCCTCGGGCAGGCCCTGCCTCCAGGGGGCCTGTCACTGTCACGTCTGCCCTGGAGGGGACCCCTAAGGATCCCCATCACCCACAACCCCTCCTCCGAGGTCCAGTGAAGGAGGCACCCTGAGAGTGAGCCACCAGCAGGGTCACCCCATCTCCACATTAGCCAATTCTCTCTAAAACAAAACAATTCCGGGGCATTTGTGCCTCGGCAAATGGAGAAGGCTGAGCCGCCTGTAAACGTCCTCCACATGGGGAACAGCACGCATTCGGGGTTTCTTGCCCTGGCCGACGAGTAAGGAAGGTGATGCAGGACGCTTGCTGGCCGTCTGAGGGACAGACCAACCAGGTGCCTGCTTGGGGCCCCTGTGGGAACCCTGGGGAGAAACACCAGCTGAAATAACCTAGGAGCAGCTTCTAATTTCTGTAGGCACATCTGCAGCAAAAATGTGAGGAAAACGCTTTTTTGGTCCCTTCTACCTGCACCTGCCACTTCTTAAAACACCACGAAGTAAAAGACATCTGTGCCTGGGGGAGAACCCCAGGGTGCACTGAGAACGTATCTGCTTGTTTTTCTAAACCACTGGCTTTGCAAGTTGGAATTAAGGCCGGGGAGGCTGATGACCTGGAACCGTCCCTGGCAGAGAGCGCAGTCTCGGGGGGGGGGGGGGGGGGGGGGCGTCCTTATATACCTACTAAGTCCATTTGGACTAATGTGCCATTTTAGGCCAGTGTTTCATTGATTTTCTGTCTGGATGATCTGTCCATTGATGTAAGTGGGGTGTTAAAGTCCCCTAACATTACTGTGTTACTGTCAATTTCTCCCTTTATGGCTGTTAGCATTTACCTTGTGTATTTAGTTGCTCCTATGTTGGCTGCATACATATTTATAATTTTTATATCTTCTTGGATTGACCCTTTGATCATTATGTAATGTCCTTCTTTGTCTCTAGTTCTGGAGCTAGTGTTGGAAGGCTAATGGGTGGGGCTGGGATCCAGAGGGTCCAGGGCCTGGTGTTCACCCACTAGCAGATGAGGCTGGGTCCTGGGGCTAGTGCTGGACCACTTGTGGGTGGAGCCAGGTCCCAGTGTGTTGGAATTGATGTTGGCCTGCAGGTGGATGGGGCTGGGTCCTGGTGTGGCTGGGAGCTCAGTACAGCAGCCAGCCTACTGGTGGGTGGGTCCATGTACCTGCCCAGCTAGCTGTCTGGCCTGGAATGTCCCAGGACTGGTGCTGATTGGCGGGGGGGGGGGGGGCGGGGCGGGCTCCCCTTCCTCACTCAGCCACCCCCCGACTCTGGCCGGCAGGAAGCTGGTGAGTCAGGGCCTCCCCAAAATTCTGTGTGACTTTTCCTCCTGGAACCGGAGGGCTCCTGGCTGGGTCTCCACGATGCCAGGTCTTCTGAGAGAAAATGGAAGGATAATTCCAAGTAGCTAATGGACCATATTTCACAATTTCATGTGGGGAATTGGTACCATGTAGATCCAGCCTGATGAGCGCCTCTGAGAAAATGAGTTCTCATGTTTTCTCCTCTCTCTCTCAGGCTGCGCGGTCAGAAGGAACACTTTGCACGACGCCAGGGGCCTTTGGAGGGGCCAAGCCCACGGCTCGCGTTGCCGGCCCCCAGCCTGCTCTCCCCCTGGGGCAGCTCCCTGGAAGTTCCCTGACATTAAATAGGTTCCCTTTCGTGACTCTCTGTTTGACTTGATTCTCCCACTGACTTTCCATAGGTGGGTGTTATGGTCTGAATGTGTGTGTCCCCAGATTCTGTATGTTGACATCTAACCCCCAAGGTGATGGTGTCAGGAGGTGGGTCCTCTAGGAGGTGATGAGGTCATGAGGGTGGAGCCCCCGTGATGGGATCAGTGTCCTTATAAAGAGAGCCCACACAGCTCCCTGCCCCTCCCTCCAGGTGAGGACACAGCGAGAAGACCGCCGTCTGTGAACAAGGAAACGGGTTCTCACCAGACACCGAATCTACCAGCACCTTGATCTTGGACTCCCAGCCCCCAGAACTGTGAGGAATCCATGTCTGCTGTTTATAAGCCACCCAGCCTGTGCTGTTCAGGAGGGCAGCCCGTGCTGAGACAGCAATGAAAATGTTACTGGTACCCTATTACAGGGGCCTCTGTCCAACCATTCCGCAGAGGGGAAAGCGATGGGCTTGGAGGAACATTGGTAAAAGCAGTAGGCATTTTTTGGGACCCGCATACAATCTGAGTATTAGAGAAATAGGTTAAATTCATGCAGGGTTTTAAAGAGAGCGATTTCCCTGCACGTCCTTATCTTAGGTGGAGGCACTCACCGCAAGCCGGGATGCAGCCGGCATTCAGAAAGTGCTCATCGCTCCTTCCCTTGGTAATTAGAACACAAGTGGACCTTCCGTGGGGTGTCAGGGCCCAAACACACCTTCAGTAACTGTGTTGTCTGTTTCTGCTGTAGGTTCCCTCTGAGCACAACGGGCCATGGGTGCCTCATCATCTTAAGCAGGGGCTGACCCCTCATCACACACAGATACTCCATTTCCCCGCCCTCGTCAGATTTCCTCATGCTCCTTCTGGAGGGGTTCACGTGTGTCTGCATGTGTCTGCGTGTGTGTGTGTGTGGTGTGTATACGCTACGTGTGTAACGCACACACGTAGCGTCAGTTACAGACTTTCCTAATGGCACCTGGGGAGACACTGACCCCATGAAACCTGCACAGAGGAGGCTGCGGTATCCTCCCCCCAGGACCGTGGGTGGACGTGACTGCGTCTGTGGTCACCAGCTCTCCTAAAATACCCGAGAGGGCAGGTCCCGCCCAGGGCTTTCACACCCTTTGTGGGAGAGGCCAGGTGCCCGGGGAGACGTCTTTATCCTCCCGCATGTGCAGGCGGAGGCAGACGCAGCCCTGGGGTCAGCTCCACCTCCACGTGGCCCGCCTCTGTGCTGCTTCAGCCTGTCCTGTGTCCTGGCCACAGGCTGCCTGACCTGCTGCAGCGACGGGGCCCCAGCAATTAGAGAGCCTCTGTCACGTCTCCAGCTACGCTGGCCGCAGAGATGTGGGCCCTCGGACCGAGGTTTTAGAGGATGCCATTCCGATGCTGCAGATGCGCTCGCCTGCCCCTCAGGGCCGCGCCACCCAGGCAAGCAGGCGGTGTCTGAGCGGACAGCGGGGCCCGCCAACCAGGGAGGAGAGACTCGGGCTGTTCGAACACAAAGGCAGGAAGCTGGGCGCTTACGGTCCGTGGTGAGCTCATAGGGCGAGTGGAGCCGTGCGTCTCCGCAGGGGGATGTGCTCACATAGAGGTGGAACAGGACATCCTCCCTCAGCCGGTAGCCGCCCTCCTGCAGCCGCACGAAGATGGAGCGCTCGCTGTCCTCGCGCCGCTTGCTGGGGACAGAGAGGGGCCCCGTCAGCTACGGGAGGCCGGCCAGGGCGCCCGGTCCATTTCCTGCATGAAACCTTCTGGACCAGCCGCGGAGCAGCTGGGTGAGAGCAACCGGCCTGCAGAGGCTGCATCCTCGGCCTCCCCGCCGCCCACGGTCAAGCCCATCCTTCACAAGCCCAGCGTCCTCGGTACACAGGACCCCGAATGTGAGTGTCTGTGACACGGCCGTCCTGTGGGTCACGATGCTCCCTGTGTGCCCGCAGGACGCTGCGCTCTACACGGCCGCCGTGGGCAGATGGTTCTCTGTTAGACGGAGGACAGGGATAGAGAGGCAGGGCTCGGCCGCAGCCCAGTGAGGCATCAGGCGCGGGGACCCCTCTTCTTCCGCCTCGGCCGTGCCCCGGGGCTGTCCTCCCCACACAACACCCCCCGTGCCCGCCTTCTCAGTGGCGGTGAGGAGCAGCCCCTGCACAGAGCGGGCCTAGCTGTGGCCCCTCCCAGACCCGTTCTCACCAGTCACGGGCAGCTCCTTCCCGCCGGTCTTGCAGTTTTTACACGTTCTGCCCCACTGGTGATGGATTCTGAGAGCACGCGGGCAGCAGAACAGACATTTTCTCCCCGGGAACACTTGAGGCATCCCACCAGCCTTTCTGCTTTCCTGACTGTGCTCCTTCTGCTGCCAGCCCCCACAGGCCCTCCCCAAAACCTCGGAGCAAACGCCTGGCCCTGGTTTTCTGCAGCCGTTGCTGGTCTCCGTCCCCTAACTCCTCTCCCCTGAGGGCAGGGGCCTGGGTGCCCCCGGCCTGCAGCTTGGTACCAGCACACAGCCAGCCCTAAACGTCAGCCTGGGGCCACGGTGACACATCCAGAGTTAGGGGTGTTTGGAAACATTTCTGACCTGGCAGTTGGATATTCAGGAGAGAAACCCTTCCCACATTTGGAGAGATTTCCAACTCCCTTCCCCACATTCAACCCTGGCCGCACCATCCGCCAGCCTGGAACCAGGGAGAAAGCTGCAAATCAGGGGCTCGGACAGAAATTAACTGAGTGTATGAAGGCATCGCTTTCCTGAGCCTACTCAGCACCTCTGGACCCGCCTTCCCTTTGTGAGGCCCGTGCACAGGCCATGGGCAGGCGGGAGTCGCCGCCTGAAGCCCCCAGGCCCCTGTTGCTAGTGGGTTTGAGGAACGCTGTTCCGGAGGGTGTGGAAGGACAGTGGTTCTGGCAGAGACACACGCTGTGCCTACAGCCACCCGTGATTCTGCTACTGCTCATGGGGTCGTAGAGGGAGATGCCCCCCAGGGGACAGCCTGCTGCTCCCTGATGGCCGCCCAACAGCACTAGGCATCCCACATCTGGGCACGTTGCTCAGGGTCTTCATTACAGACACCCCCTCTTTAAGATGCAAACATGCAGGGAGGAGGAGGAGGCCAGAAACGGGGAGACAGAGCCCATCACTGGCCGCCTCCGTCGTGGTGCCTGGGGACCAGGTGCAGGAAGGGTTCCCGCTGTGGGGCGGGGTGCAGGGAGGGCCCGCCCCGCACAGGAGGACAGGGCTCAGAGCTGCTGGCTGGGCTCGTCCGGGCAGTTGAGCCTGGGGGCCCCAGGATGAGGCCTGGGGAGGAAACAGACTCGACCTGGAGTCTGGGATGGGCTGGTGTGCTTTCGGGGCATAGCCGTTGGCACGTTCAGGGTCGGTCGGGATAGAGGGACACCAGGCGTGGGGGCTGCATGGCCGCCCGGGATCCCCGCTCACCTCAGGTGCAGCTCCAGCTGTGCATACAGGAAGTGGACCAGCGCCCTCCTGGCCACGATCTCCGCATGGCAGTCGTTGACCACCAGCCCCTGGTCATTGATGTACTCGCCGCTGATGCACTTGGTCCCAGAGGACAGGACGACGACCTGGGCTTGCCTGACGTCCAGGCCTGGTGGACAGAGGAGGCGTCAGAGCCCTGCGGCCGCTGCCCTCCCCGTGGGGCAGTGGGTCTGCTCTCCACCTCACCTGGCACCGACCCCCGCCCCCTTGCATCCAAGTCTCAAGTTCACCTGTAAATAGCCAGCCAGTGGGGCAAAAGGTACTGGGAGTGTGTGTGCGTATGCACACCTGGCTCAGTTGTGAGGCCGGAGTCATGCCCAGAACTCCATTCACTCCCCAATCCCAGCCCAGTGGGGCCCCGAGTGTGTGAACCCCGATTCCTGGCCTGAAGGACCTGAGGGCCGTGTCTCCCCACGTGTGTGACTCAGACAGCGTGGGATGCAGGCCTGTGGTTGAGGAAGGTTCGTCCCTTAATTGGAAGATTCTGACAGGAGGGCCTTGTGCTCAGGATGGAAGGATGTCTGTGAGGACAGACCGCAGGCCAGTCCCCGCCCGCCCGCCTATGCCTCTGAGGCAAACTCAGGACCATCGGCCACCTTCCCTGCGTGGAGCCAGCGCTCCTCAGAGCCCCAGATTCCTGCACGAAGGGACACTTGCTTCCCTGTTCTGCTCACCTCGGCGGCTTTGCCCTGAAGCTGGGGCATGTCTCTGCGTCTGGACTCAAGGCCCAGCCCTGGAGCAGCAGGAGGTCTGGGCACCAGGCAGTCTGGGCCCTGAGGCTCCTGTGAAAGTACAGCCTGGGCCGAGGGCCACTCTCGACGCCCCCAAGAGGCCAGCAGGGACAGCAGGACGCCCGGGCCAGCGCGTCCCTCTCTGGAACCGCCTCTCACAGGAGGTGCGGGGGTCCTGGTGGGGCGGCCCCTCCCTGGGCCCCACGCAGAGCAGGAGCCGCCTGGGATCCCGGCCTCGCTTCTGGGGCTGCATTTCAGGAGCTCCTGAAACAGGCTCACACCTGAGAACAGCGGCAGCAGCGGGGAGAGGGTGCTGAGCTTTCTGATTTGATGGCCCAGGCTCTCCGTTTTCCCTAAAGAACAGCAGGGCAGATGGGAGGTAGGTAGCGGCAATACAGCCTCCCTTCCATCCAGCAATTTCTGTGCTGAGATCCTTATGACCCCATGGGGGGCATAGGAGGGGCCATGCCCCCGCGTCCCCCTCTGGTCCCTTCGAGGGCCGCGCACAGCTGCTTCCTAGCAAAGCTCACGGGTTCGTGGTGAGAACGAAGCAACTGGCCTTCTGTTTGGTGTGGCTGTCGTATCTTTGCACGTTGTGTGAAAGTGATGTATGTAAAAGTGATTTACTACCGCAATGTTTGCAAGTGAAATAATATGAGTGACCCAATACTGACCCACCAGTAGGGGACTGCTTATAGCGGAGTACGTTCATCTGTGTACTGGGCCCCTGTAGACAAGTTCTCTGGAGGAATAGAAAGATTTCTAAGGGATATCGTTATGTGAAAAAAGCATGGTGTGGAGCAGCGCGTGTACACCCCACGTTGTGCTGTGAAGGGTAGGGGTGAGGGTCAGGGCTGGGATCCACCCGCCTGCCACCAGCTGCTGCTAAGCCAGCCGCTTACTGTCTTGAGGACATGGAAGACACGTGATCCCCGGACCGGAGACAAAGAGCACTGTGACTCGCAGCACCGCCGGCAGCAAGAGCCTTGTGCCTGCTTAGGTGCCCTTGCCTGTCTCAGGCGGTGTGTGCAGGGGCCTTGCGGGTGCTGCCCGTGCTCGGGGGTCCCTGAACTTGGGGACGGCACCTCTCCGTCATCAGTGGTTAGCAAGTCCCAAAGGAAAACTGTACGTCACCCCTTGAGACTGCTCCCTGCAAACACAGCCGAAGAAACGTTCCAGGGAGAGTGACCGCCCCTCTCTGGCTGGCCTCCTGCATTGCCCTCCTCAGCCCGAGGACTGGTGTGCTTGTGCCCCAAAGGACTCACCCCACCCTCTCTCCCCGAGCAGGGAAACTGTCTCCCAGGATGTGCGAAGGTGACTGGGCCGGCTTGCTCTCCAGCTGGCCCACACCTGATGTGTGGAACTCCCATGCCATGCATGCACCCTCACCTCCAGCTCTGGGAAATCTCTGGGAATGCACTCTTAGTTGTTTAGCCGGGACTAAGCAATTCTTAGCCTCTTCCAACTCTGAACAGATTTTCACAATACTACATCTGACTATGGAGGAAATGATTACCAAATTTCTAGGAATAAAACTGAAGGTAAAATATACCAACCAGTATCAAAGAAACAAATACCCAAACTATAGAAACTAGAGACAGAAAGGAGCGGCATTCACCCTGCGTGCAGACCGCCCGATGGTGTGCTGTTTGATTGGTCCTGACGCCCTGTTTTCTGGGCCGTGTCCAGTGAGTGTAATGACTCAAGCATTAGCGTTTCCACCACCCACTGGGGGAAGCCAGGCTCTTCCACGGTGTGGGCTCAGCGTCAGGAGACCCTCCTCCACGGTCCGCTAGATGCTCCTGCACCGTTTCCTTCTCACCCAGGCTCCCAGCCCCCCCTGGGGTTTGCACCCTGAGTATTTGCAGAGAATTTCCTGCAAATTTCCTGTCCAGAGCCCTAAACCCTGGGGATCGCCAAGCCCAGCAGAGCAGGACACAGGACTGTTGAGAGGTGCCCTGAGAGGACCCGCAGAGCGGGGCCATGGTGCTGGAGGCCAAGCCACCGGCAAGAAGCCAGGACCCTGCTTTCCCCTGTTAAACCATGAGGCCTGGGTTTCCTTACAGTGACAGTCCCCCACTTGGGAGGACACCAAGTGCTCCTCCGGGATTTCCGTCCCAGCAAGGCCACCTGAGCAGGTGGATGAGTCTTGAAAATGTAAATATAGGGAAACTGGGTGAGAAAGGGGTATAAACCAGGACCCTAAGTGCATGTATCTGAAAATCAAAAGCACTTCAAAGGTATAGCTTTACCCAGCTTCACATTGGCTCATTAATTGGTTCCGACCCTTCAGAATATTGTCGTACCTGCAGCCATGTGGGGTGGGGGGTGATCCGAGCTGATTAAATTCTCAGCTAACGGACAGGACTGTGCCCAGCAACTTTGCTGATGCTTCTTCCTCCCTCCCTCCCTCCCTCCCTCCCTCCCTCCCTTCCTTCCTTCTTTCCTCC